ATATTAAATGTTTTTATTATTCAGAACGGGCAGTGCCATGGAGATCATTTCATGAAATCTGCCTTTTTCTAACCATGCATCATTTTTACAAAGTTACAAGTCTTTCAGCTGAAAACTTATTCCGTAAAAAGGAGAGCAGCTCTGAAATGAGATCATCAGTATTCACCGGAAGGCTTGATATTTGTTGATTTTGAATTGCCATGTTTTTCACATATGCATATCATTCTGCTGTCACTGTTTTTCCATGACAGGAAAATACACAAAGACTGAATCTGAGTGGTTTTCTGAGAGAAAAGAGTGAAAGAGATGGGTCAGCTGCAAAGAAAACAGAAGAGGCGTCATCACTCTGGGGATATAACGAAAGTTTTTAGTGTTGTGCAAGAGTAACTGGGGAAAAAAAACCCAAAACGGAAAGGCTGATTACTGATAGGGTAGGGTTTTACCTCAGTCAAAACATTCCCACTGGGAAATACTGAAAGCAATCTTTACTGTTCCATATCACAGTGTGGAGGATGTGAAAGTTTTGACCAAATGTGTTAAAGTCGCCATCTAGTGGAAGAAGACAAACACTTCTGGCTCTTCAGTACACAGCTTTTCTTCTGATCAATCGTTTTGTCTTCATGTAACTGAATCTTTAAACAGCCTGGATACATGACCCCTCTTAAATATTCATTAAAACGTTGCCTTGTGCCATTATAAAAATAAGAGATAAGTAACAGACTGTAATACAGAAAAATTCAGGGGCCACACCCTGTCTCCTGTGCGTGATATAATCTGTGGGTTGCAGTGTGTAAATGAGTGAATTTAAGATGAAGCATCCAGGCAATGTGTGAGTGGTAGTTTCACTCCATATTCAAGCAGTATGGGCTCTGTTGAGAAGAGGGAGACACAAGGTGTCTGAGCCACTCATCCATGCCCCTTCCACAGCAGCTGCAATTTAAACAGTGCTTCACTGACAGCTGGAAAACAGATGTCAACAGCAGCATTATATTTCAGTCGGCCTGTACAGTCTCACCACCTCGTCGTTGTGAGAATTACGTTGCATGACAAAAAAAATCCCTCAAAAATTAAGTAAAACTGAGTTATCTCACTTGATGTTATTGTTTCAGATGACAAAGCTGCAGGCTTGACACTGGAATAATCTCGCTCATGAGCATCTACTGCAGCACTGCAGAGGCCAGGAGATGAGAAGTCTTGTCAGATTGTTTTTGAGGCCCTCTCTGCTGGTGAGCACAACCCGGCTCCTTCGCTGCCCTCGGGGTGCAGGGGAGCAGTCAGGCTTTGGCACTTCACACTCGCTCAGCAGTCAAGGCCTCTGACCGTCCGCAGACTATACCACCAACTGCTCCCACATACCCTCGGCCCTGTTGTTTGGCCAATTATGAATATTCACTTGCTATGAATGTAATTCTGTCAGACATGCAACTGTCCATTCAGATATTGTCAGCAGTGTTGTTTGTATTTGAAGAATCTGATCATTTTCTCATTTTCTTTCAGATTTTGAGCCAAATCACGACTTCAAGTGATTTTGTTTGAGCCATGTCCTCCATTGTTATCCTACTAAGACACGTCATGAGCCACACTAAGAACTGAATTTTAAGCTTACAGAAAAACTCAATAGACCATAAAAATGTATGTAATGTGTAAGGTGAGACTGCTTTGTTTGAATTTTGGGTTGATGAGGGGAATCCAATCAGAAAAAATTGGGTTTTAAGGAGGAGGAAGGTAACTGGCAAGTATAGATGAACAGAGGAGTCGCACCAAGCTGTGAATCATAAAAAGCTACTTTGGTCCAAGAATAAATATATCGAGCTGGAAGAAACCAAAATAGGTCCCCTTTAAAGGCCTCCTTCCTCAGTAGGACACAAAGAGCTTGGAGCTTGGAGAGTATGACAGAGTAAGAGATTTTTTTTTTTGTTGTCTTGGTCTTTGGATTTGTCATGACATGACGTGAATCACATTGATTAATGCAATAACCTATTGTGCAACAATCTAAACCCCTGGGTCCTGACATTCATGTGAATACTATGCAGACATACTAAGCACAACCCCCACAGCAGCAACAACCCCCATCAGCAGCGGCCTCCCCCAGCACGACAATTTGTCATCATGAAAAACTGCTCGAGCAACATGACAAGGAGCTCAAGGTGTTGACCGGGCTCCCACGATATCAGCAAACATGACACAAAATTATATTAACAAGACCAAATCTACTTCAGTCTGTAACAACTGCTGAAAAATACTACCAATTAAGAAAGAGCCTGTCAGTGTCAGCCAGTGAGAGGTGCTGATGAGTATATACAGAAGCTTTTGTGGCTCACAGTCAATACACTCTAAGTTTCTGGGTGGCACAGTGGTGTAGCACCACAAGTCACAACAAGAAGATTCCCAGTTTGATCCACAACTGGGACCTCTCTGTGTGGAGGTGCTCCAGCTTCCTCCCTCAGTCCAAACACACAGCTGTCAAGTTAACTGGTGAGTCTAAATTGGACTTGCTTGTGAGGTAGATAAAGTGCTTTAAGTGTACAGAATAAATTGCTCTATGAGTGTATGGCTAAGGTACGACCTGAAGTTAAAAATGCTACATAAACACATGTGTGTTACATCCTCAGTACACACAAAACCCTTCGTTCACTGTAAATGCTTGGATTTGGTTCAGTGTGCATTTATCTGAGTGCATGTGTCCAAATATGTTGAATATGTTTGGACAAGAGCCATCATGAATGGTAGGAAGATGTGGAGCCATTAAAGGGGTGGGGGCTCACTAACCTTGGCTGACTTTCAGTTATCACAGCAGTGATTACCATCGCGCCATTGACGCCTCCGTGTGAGCAAAAACGTAGAGTCGTTGCTGTCTCGTAAAGCCACAATAATAAAAAATGCTGGATGTATGAACGCTCTGCATTACATATCATTTTAATGTGTTGAAAACCCTTTTCCAACAAAGCAAGTCAAGCACAGTGGTGCACATTAACACATGTTGAAAACCCATGAGCTAATTCACAAGAATAGGAAAACAAACAAACAACAACAACAAAAGAATAAAATAAAAAATAGGAGCCTACGTTAAGCATACCATAAAAAAAAAATACAAATACAAACAAATAGGCCACACAACATAAAAAGTGTCTATAAACAAGGTTAGACTGCTCAGAAAACACATTATTTGACAGAATGACTCGTCCCTTCTTTAAGTACTTCATCGTTAACGCTTCCTTGTAAATCTTTGATACTGAGAAGAATCAGCCTGATAGGTACGGAGGCAAGCATGACTTTAAACATCTATATTTGTTTTGGTGTCAGTTCTAGAGTTACTAAAGCACTTCCAGCAGAATAATGCACTGATTTATATGCAAATGAACATCCTAACAAGGACACAATTCAACAAAAAATGCGTAAACACGTCAAAAACTGTCCTCAGCTGAGCCGCAGTTCATCCACCTGCTCCTTCCGTCGTGACGGTGATCATTGGCTTCATGCTACGAGCATCTGTGGGCCTGCGCCGCAGCTTCAGGAGCAAAGATCCACTGTGCGAGCATGTAAAACTCTATTAGCATAATGACTTCCCTGTTTAAGTGGATTGCAACAAACTGAGTTACATGCGTCTTTGACAAACTTTTGTCTGCGATGAAAGCAATATTTCTTTTCATATTTCTCTCGGAAAGGATCGGGATTAGTAACAAAGTAACCAAACACAGCGAGTAAACTGAGCAGTTTTGTTTTGGCATGATCAAAATCTGCTGCGATAAAGAAGAACTCAGAAAAACACAATTCCTACTTTTCCTATTAAATCTGTCATTCGTGTATCTGCAGAACCAAAACCAACATTGTGTAAAATCGTCTGGGTTAATGATTCTTAATGAATAATGTCAAGCTTGTCTGATTTGATGACAGGTATTTATTTATTGTTTTACAGATAACATACTTCACAGGGTTACCTTAGAGGTAAAAATCTCCTGACAGAACTTGGTTTTGACTCGTCGGAGACAGCGAGGGGAAGATGAACATACTTTTTGTCAAGCACACATTGTAAACAACTGAGCAATATTTAAGTCTAAATGGCGTACCATAGAATAGGTGAGAGACAACAAAATGTAAGTAAGAAGATGTGCCTCTTGCTCGCAAAGACAAAAGTTTCATTTTTACAAAACAAATAATGGTCACTGACATTTTTCTACTTTTTTTGTTGTTTTTTTTTAAGTGGCTGAGAGGTAGAATGAAGTATTTTCAGTTAAAACCAATGATTTTATTTCTTTGCTTTATCTTATCGTCATAATGAGCGAAAACATTACGAGTGAATAAGGAACCCCAGCCCTCCGATTATAATGTGAAATCTGTACAAACATCTCCATTGATTGCAATATCGTTTAATTTTTTGAAATATTTTTTATTGTGAAACTTTTTGTTTGTATCCCAAAAGTCCATCGTTATAAGCAGAGGAAATATTATTGAATTTTTCTGGTTAGGATTTCGTGGTACCTCGCCGTACGGTGGGGCAGTGAATTCCTTTTTTTTTCTTCTTCTTTTTTTTAATACTGCGAATAGCAACGTCAGTTCATGTTTTTTAAATTTTTTGTTTGTTTTTCGTGGATGGAGTGTAGAGATGGATATATTCAGTTGGAAGTATCTGAATGAACGCTTCCGGGTCCTTCTGTGGGCGATGTCACTGACGAAGGAGTCGGAGCATCTTGCCAGCC